GGGGATAAATATTGACTGGTCCCAAAAATATTCTGATGGCTTTCTATAAGTTTATTTTATATTAGACGAGGTCTCCTGGTGGCCTTGAATTCCCAGAAGTACAGAAATTATCGTCAGAAATATTGGAAGGGGAACATTCAAGTCCTAATTTCTGTGAGGTGCACTTGGGAACTGAAAAACTTCCTCACAAAGTAGACTCATTTCAATCTTTCAGTCTTAAGATTTAGAGGTTATCTCCCTAGATTTCTTTGTTGTATGCTGAGGGGAATTTGGCGTTATGATAAGATAAATGTCGCCTTAATCGTGATTTTCTCAATTCTTTTTACTCGTTCGTTTAAAGGTGCATTATATTGAAAACTCCGGGGAGCGAAAAGGTTTACTTTTGTCAACACGGAATTATCGAGCCACAGAAAAAATTAAGGGAATAACAGTGGTTTTCTCTAGCGTTACACTGTTAAACACTTTACAGCCTAACATTTGTACGCATATTCTCCATACTGTTCTCTAAACATTTCTTAAGGTGCGTGCAAGGAGAATTTGTTTAACAATCAAGAGCTTCTTTACTTGAAGATCATTCCCTTTATTCTCCTGGCCTTATTGTGTGATTCAGGGCTGATATTGTAAGGAAAAATTAGATGCTAGTCACGGCAGCTAAGGGTTGTTACTCTGAGGGTCCAGGGGTTAGCTGTTTCAGGTATGATTTTTATCTATCCTTCCTGGATTAGAAAGGGGGACAAGCTAAGGGATTAAACATTATCCAGAAACTATGCTTCTGATAATGTTCTTTTTCCTTGCAGTTCAATGTTGCAAAAACGTCAAACAATGTTAACAGTTCTGAAAGGGAGGACAAACCCCTTGTGACGTCAAGTGTCCCAAATTATGGGGTGACGGACACCTCGCCTCCGTCGAGATTCAAAGTGAACAGTCCACAAAAAATATCACAAGAGGCTGGGCAACAGAGCGAAGATGAAGGGGAGCAGGACTCGTTTCAGCTCTTAACTGTTGATGGAGATAGTACAGAGGTTTTCATTTAGTACTGTAAAGAGTCTGGTACTAGTCAAACGAGAGATAATGGCTCGATTGGGATCAAAATGGACGCCGTGGCCTGGGTAGGAAGACTAAAAAAAGTCTTCTTAAACGATGACCTTGATTTCGTTCAAAAGATGATTGGCTTGTGGTTTGTTTCACCATGACAACGTTCTTCGCTTCTTAGTGTACAGGGAACAATTCCTCAGTGGCCTCTGAGTACTTTGGTAATATCAACTAAGTTAAAATTGAAAATTAATTGGCCACCGTAGACAGTTAAAAAGCTGATGTTTTGAGCGTTAGCCCTTCGTCAGAGCGTCGTAGCGTTAGAGCCTCTGAGTACTGTTTGGTCATCACAGGGGTATACTGAAAGTTTTTTCTTTCTCCCCCCTCCCACCCCGTGGGGAGGCTCATGAGAACGTTTATAATAGTCCGCCACAAACGTTTTTACATTAATTTGAGTCGGGTTGAAATCACTCGGGTGATGAAAGTTCCAAGTTGCCTTTTTCTTGGTCGAAAAATTTGTTTACGAAACTTTTCTAAAAAGTTATGAATGCTGATTACAACAAAATTGACAGATGTTTATGCAGACATGTCTTCCGTTTTTAAGCGATAGGTAAAAGCAATGTAGGAGATATTTTTTTTATACTTACGCTATTTCAAACCATTTCATTAATCTCATCAAAAGCGTGGCTATTTTATCTTGAAGTTGTAATAAAATGTAAAACTAAAAGTTAGTCCGGTCATCTGTAAGGGTCTTTAAATTACAGCCACCTTATTCCTATGGTGACTGGAAGAAAACAATGGTTTTTAACGAGAAATGTCGATATCTCTGATTGCTAATCAGTTTGTGGAGTAAAATAATACTTCCTTGATATTTCGTGATTGAGACTTTTCACGTAATCCCATAAATTGTCAGAATTTCGTGCTATAGTAAGAGACCGAAGATCAGGGGGGGTCCTCTCAGAAAAAGTAACCCGCAGCTTAGACGACTCAAGTGTAGGTCGGGAATGATCACTATTATCCGAAGGAAAATTAATTGTAAAACTTGTGTGACATGATCTTAAACTACTTTAGGAAGTGGTCATTCACCTTCCGGAGGATTGGAGTCGGAGGATTCTGGTTGTGTCACGATAAGATTTTCCAGAAATCCCTTAAAGCACTGTAATGCCCTTCTGACCTCACCCCCCCCCCTCCTTTTTTTATTGGCAGTCAAATTTTCTATATTCCCCTTTTTATAATTGGTTGGCTACGACTGATCCCCCTCTATTCCCCCTGAAAACTATGTGATACCCCCCCCAAGAAAATCCTACCCCCTCCCCACCAGGCAACAAATATTGACTGGTCTCTTATGTTACGTGTGACACATTATCCATACTTTGACGGAGGAAGCCAAGCACCTTTAGATTTAAGCTTCAGGTATACCCAGAAGTGTCATTCGCTGCGCGTTACAATGCAAATAATCTGGCCGTGATGTCTGATTTAAAACCTTTCACGTAATAATATAATAACATAATTTCAGGCCAGCACTAAGAACTTGGTCCTAAATCGAACAATTTATCCTGGTTTATATTCTTTCTTTTTTAGCTTTTTGTTTTGATTTTGTTTTTGTTTTTTCATTCTCTTTTTCCATGTCACCCTCGGTAGTTAGTGACAAGGTAAATCCTTGTTACAAAGGTGAGCAATATTCATTCTATCTGAATGCCAATTAGGGTTGCAAAAGCATTGTGGAGGCATGTTTGAACCAATTAATGGAACCGTCGGTACATTTGAGACTTGATTGAATTTAACCATTAACAACTTTTATTTGATCATAGAACAATAAGCAATTGACACACCTCCAAATAAGAGCGGATTTAATTCTTGTTCTGTCAAACAAGAACCAGTGTTTATTTTCCGCTTATTAGAAGTTTCTTTTCGTTCGTTCCGCCGCCATATTTTCCGTCTCTCAGTGACGAACAAGAACTTCACTGTTGCGTTTTTCACTACCGCTTCTGTTGAAAAACAATTCGGCGCCTGATCTTACTGGTGAGTTACTTCGTTCTCCCGTATGGAGTAACGACAAAGGAATTTAGCTCAATATAAAGCTGACCACTACATATTCGCATGTTTCTTTGCCGATCTTGCGGTAATGTCGACCCAGTAGATGAAAAACATTATGCTCTTACATTTAAGCGTTTAAACCAGGAGACAAACTAGACCAGTCTATCACTACTTTGCCGTTCCATCAATTTTTTTAGTTTAGTTCAAGTGAAAGCCACGATAAGCTGAAATGTCAATAGCTTTGGTATTCATACCGGAGTTGCTACGAACTGAAGAAATGAGCATGGAGAACATGGCTCTTTTTGTTTATCTTGATGTCAAACTGAATGCGCGAAGGTCGAATCATGAATTAACGATCTTCAGTGAAACAAGTTTTGGTGGTCAATCCGAGTTCAAAAAGTGAAGATTCTGTTTTTGATTCCCGACTTGGAAATTCGTTTTTCGATTATGTATCTGTCCCCAACGGAAGAAAAACGACTTTCTCTGTATATTGCGTTGGAGTGAGGGGCCTTACTTTTTTTACTATGGCAATATGAAGAGGTCCACTACTAATTTTTTTATTCTAGCGTCTACAGGAACAGATTAATCGCCTTTTTTGGATTTTTTCTTGCTTTGCATGGCGAGTAGAGCAGCTGATTCGATAGCCAAGATGATCCCGCTCCTGATTAAACGCGATTACATTTAATAAGGAAACCTAAAAGATGCGCAAACTAGTCGGAATTCAAAGCTGTCACTTCGAATTCTCCACTTAAGTAGTCCCGCATATGTCAAAACTAAGAATGTATGAGAATTTTCCCTGAGAAGGACAAGAAATGAATAAATTTCTAACTTTAAAACAACGATACAAAATTAATGTTTGCTCCTGGGGGAGGAGCCGTGGGGGAGGAGCCGTGGGTGAGGTAGTATTCCATTTGACACCTGGGTCAGTTCACAAGCCACTCTTGTTTACATCGCAAAATCTCGTGTAAATCGGTGGACCGTGAAGACTGTGAACGCTCCTTCCGTTTTTTTCTTTTTTTGGTTTGTTTGTTTCTTTGCTTGTTTTAATTTGTGTTCCTTTTTAGTGCAGTGTTAATAAATTGAAATAATCTTGTTATGTTAGTTCTCAGTAAAGACATCATGAGTACGAGTTCTCAGGCAGAGAAAAAAAGACACAAAGTCCAAAGTGATAGCGAGCCTATCGAGGAAGAAAACGAAACCTCAAGTCCTTCCATTTATGGCGTAGTAGCCGCTCATTCATTATCAAAGGATATCAAGCAGAAGTCACTGCATTTAATAAAAGTCAAAAAACGGCACGGGGACTGGGGACAGTTTGATTTGAGGCATGCATGGTCACCGGAAGACCTGTCGAGTAACATGGGTAGTCGGCATGGTAGTGGACTAACACGAGAAACAACACTGGTTGATGATAATTTATCAATGGCCAGACCTTTCGTTATGGAACCTTTGCGAACGTTTCAGGTTTGTTAAACATTACGCCCGTGTGAAAGTTTGACCCTGCTAAGGCAACACCCTCCTGAAGGGGGATCCAGAGGAAGGTTCGAGCATTCGAACCCCCTCCCCCCCCTCTAATTTGTTTAGTTGGCGATTAAGAGAGTATCTAATGAAACTGAAGGCAGTAAAGGATAAAAACGGATGAAAACCACCAGACAAAAAGGCTGTTAACTTTTAGTAACAATTCTTCTCTTTCTCTCTCCTTCCACTTTCTCTCTGTTCTTTACCCTTTACACCCAAACATCAGCATGCATATTCTCCATACTGTTCTCTATACATTTCCTTGGGCGCGAACATGGAGAATTTGTTTAACAATCACGAGACTGTTTAGTTGGTGATCATTTTCTTTACTCCCATGACCTTAATGTGTGATTCAGGGGTGATATTGTAATGAGAAATTAGATGCTAGTCACTGTAAGGGGTCAAAGGGTTAAAACATCTATGCCTTTTCGCTTCACTGACAGGAACACAGAGTCATACCAATTATTCAACACGTGCTAGAAACAAACCTGGCTGAACAGAAATACGACCCAATCTTCTGCAAAGATGCCACCGTTAAAATAACTGAGGAGATAAAGGAACGAGTAAAGAAATTGTGTTATCCCCGGTACAAATTTGTTTGTCACGTGATTGTGGGTGACGCCAATAGACAGGACGTGAGAGTTGTGAGCCGGTGCGCTTGGGATGCAGCGGTAGATCGTTATGCGCAGTTTGAATATCGAAGCTTTTATCTGTACGCAGTAGGAATTGTTTATGGAATTTACTGTGAATGAGATTTGCTAATTACCTTGGGATATACGTATGACATGTTTTTCTCCCTCGCCTTTCCAGAGACAAACGCGGAACTGAAGGAATTTTTTAAATATTTTAAAAGAACTGTCGGGCTTTGACGAAACATCGACTCGAGAATGTCCTCAATAAATGCCATGCACTAGCATATAAGATCAGGACTATTATGGTTCCTGGTCTTATAAATTTTTTTTAATCATATCTGTCAATCAAGTTTGATCAGAAACAATCCTGTATTAAAGACGCAACGATGTAATAAGAAACCATTAAATTTCCCAACGACACGGAGAGATAATGGAGAAAGAAACTGGGAAGAAGGTTGGAGAAAAGTCTGAGATGCCAAAGTCCGCTCTTCATTTGCTTTTGAGCCGGTTAGACTTTCGTTGATTAGTCTGCATAACAAGCGCTTATTTAGCTGTGTGTGAAGCGGGAGACATTAAGCTCGAAGCGCGAGACAAAGGAAAGAGAAAACTACGATTATCTTTCTCTTCCCCTCGCCTCGCTCCCCGCGCTCGCGTGTTGCGCTTCGTGCTTGATGTCTCTGGCTTCGTGCCTGTAACGCAGGCTATCTACTGATCGACGCGAGTTAGTTCAGCTGTGCTCGAGAAAACTCAAGTGAAGGGAGGTCTGAAAAGAAGAAAAAAAATCGATAACAAATAAACTTTTTTTGTTTGTTTGCTTGCCTGTTTGTATTACAGTTTTAAAAAATAAGCTGCAGGGTGCAGTTTTCTTCGAGAAAAAAACTGAGCATTCGCTCCTCAAAATTGCACTTTGAGAACACCCTTGTTCCACTATCGACTAAATACAGGAATGGCTCCGACCTGTAATTGGATGATAAAAATAGTAAAAGTTAATAAGTTACATCTTAACTCCTTGCTTGTGAGTATTGTTTAGCCGTGTGTCTCGAAGCGGAACAGTGAAATATCAATGCGAGTGAGAGCACCGATGTGTCAAACAGGAAATGGCTATTTACATAACGAAGGGAAGGCAGAGCCTTTCTCGTTTGGCGAGGTCGTTCTGCGATATTACAGCGATGACTAAGTCATACACTGACTAGTTTCGCTGACTAAACTCATTTAGTCGATTCAGGCTCAGTTCAGGTGGACGATCAGAGACGGAGGGGTGTCTCGAAACTTCAGACCTCGAAACTTCAGACCCCGTGAAAAGTGATTGAGATTTATGTTTTAACGCAGTTAAAAAAAGAAAAGTGATTGAGATTTATGTTTTAACGCAGTGAATGAATATTTAGGGCCTATCCGCACTAGCGACAATTTTTCTGTCATCACCGACACTGTATAAGTGCGAATGGTTTCTCACGTCTTGAAATATCGGATCTAAATAATCAGATATTTCCAGGGGGTTCATAGTATAGTTCTCTGATTTAGGAGTATAACCATTAAAGTAGATTAAAGAAGATAATTTTATAGAAAACGTATTATTCTGGTATTAACATGCAGGACATCGATCGTTGCACTGTCCGGGGAGTTCATGTTTTTCTTTTTTTCAGAGATTACACCAGCGAAAGTGAAATAATTTTGCCATTGTTCTTGTCGTTCTCGTTTTTGTTTTGAATAAATATATAGGAAACCTTCAGTACCTGTCTCCAGTTATCAATGCGGGATTGTTGCGTGACTTGACACTTGGGATTAGTCACGATATCGTAAATAAATAATCATAATGTAGAACTGCGTTTACAATTTCAATCTATTTTCAAGGGGTCAAGGGGTCTGAAGTTTCGAGGTCTGAAGTTTTTTCTGTTCCGCTTTGAGACACACTGTTAAACGATACTCACAAGCAAGGAGTTAAGATGTAACTTATTAACTTTTACTATTTTTATCATCCAATGACAGGTCGGAGCCATTCCTGTAGTGTGTCTGGTTCGGGCAGACGGTCATTTGAGTTGTCACGTGACGATACAGTTATTATTGACGGAAGAGAAAACATTTTACTCGTGGAGGGAAAGGACTTTTGAAGGTGTGCAAGCTTGTTAGAAGTACAGAAAATGTAAGAAACGATCAAAACTGGCTAATCTCCTGTAGATGATTGTTATTGAGCGTCAGCCTCAACACTAGGAACATGTAAATCCAAGCACAAAACGATCTGAGTGTTCGATACATAACAGTAAGACCACGAACTATCGCGTTGATATGGCATTTCATGTGACGTCAAAATTTAGTTTACATACTCTTTTTCAGAAATGGAGGATTCGAACGAAAATCAAGATCAGATGCCCACCTCATCCACTCTGACGGCTTCTTCTGGACGTCCTGGTCCAGTCGAGAATGTTCACGTCGAATTTTCGGAGGTAATAAGAAATCACAACCTCGTGGTCTTTTTATCTCCACAACAAGCATAGTGAATCACTGTGATCTTATTCTATCACTTCAACATTAGCCTCCTAAACTCTGCTCACTTCCTACTAGTTTTTGTAGTTATCACTCTCTTCTTAACTTAACCAATTCTTCTTTCCTCGACGAAGGTTCATCACAAAGTTCTGTTGGTTATTGTACACTAACGTACACTTCGCAATTGTTTGCTTCAAACAGTTTTCCTTGGGACACACAAACACCCAAGGAGACTTAGAAAATGTGGAATTTTGGATACCAAATGTGTAATTCTTTTAGATCTGCGAGTTTTGAGTTGACATGCATCGTTAGATTGGTGAGAAGCAATGTTAAGTACATTTGAACGTACTAGTCGATATGTACAGAAGTACTGTACTGTTTGACCTAAACGTATTATTTATTAGTTGTTGTTTGTTTTCATAAGCACT